AGCGCAGCTCCAGCCTCTACGCCCGCGAGGCTCTGATCGAGATCGACTACAGCGACCTGCCCGAGGAGCTGAAGGTGGGCACGGCTGGGATACCCGAAAACACACCTGGGCACAGCTGGGCACACCTGGGCATGGCCTGGGCACAGCTGGGCACACCTGGGCACACCTGGGACACAGCTGGGCACACCTGGGCATGGCCTGGGCACAGCTGGGCACACTTGGGCATGGCCTGGGCACAGCTGGGCACACTTGGGCATGGCCTGAGCACAGCTGGGCACAGCTGGGCATGGCCTGGGCACAGCTGGGCATGGCCTGGGTACACCTGGGACACAGCTGGGACACACCTGGGCATGGCCTGGGCACAGCTGCGCATGGCCTGGGCACACCTGGGACACAGCTGGGCATGGCCTGGGCACAGCTGGGACACAGCTGGGCACACCTGGGCATGGCCTGGGCACAGCTGGGCATGGCCTGGGCACAGCTGGGCACAGCTGGGACACAGCTGGGCATGGCCTGGGCACAGCTGGGACACAGCTGGGCACACCTGGGCATGGCCTGGGCACACCTGGGACACAGCTGGGCATGGCCTGGGCACAGCTGGGCACACCTGGGCATGGCCTGGGCACACCTGGGACACAGCTGGGCTCACCTGGGACACAGCTGGACGCAGCTGGGCATGGCCTGGGCACAGCTGGGTGTGTTTTGGGCACACCTGGATATGCCATGGGCATGCATGGGCACATGCCAACACACCTGGGCACACCCTGGGTGTGTTCTGGGCACACCTGGGCATGCCCTGGGCACAGCTGGGTACACCTGGGACACACCTGGGCATGGCTGGCATACCTGGGCATGGCCTGAGCACACCCGGGCATGGCCTGGGCACACCTGAGGCATGGCAGGCACACCTGGGCACACCTGGGCACACCTGGCCACAGCCTGGGCATGTCCTGGGCACAGCTGGGACACAGGTGGGACACACCTGGGCATGTCATGGGCACACCTGGGTATGCCTTGGGCACGCATGGGCACATGCCAACACACCTGGACGTGTCCCTTGTCCCCTGATGTCCCCATATCCCCTCATGTCCCATGTCCCCATGTCCTCGTGTCCCCATGTCCCCTGATGTCCTCGTGTCCCCAATGTCCCCTGATGTCCCTGCTGTCCCCCAATGTCTCCAATGTCCCTGCTGTCCCCATGTCCCCTGATGTCCCCTGATGTCCCCATGTCCCCTGCTGTCCCCGTGTCCCCAGGACGCGCAGGCGGAGGAGATCCGGCAGGAGATGGCGGCGCTGACGTGTCCCCGTGTCCCATCACGCCCCATGTCCCCATGTCCCTGCTCTCCCCCGATGTCCCCTGATGTCCCCCGATGTCCCCATGTCCCTGTGTCCCTGATGTCCCTGTGTCCCGGTGTCCCCTGCTGTCCCTTGATGTCCTCTGATGTCCCCATGTCCCCTGCTGTCCCCGTGTCCCCAGGACGCGCAGGCGGAGGAGGAGATCCGGCAGGAGATGGCGGCGCTGACATGTCCCCATGTCCCATCACGCCCCATGTCCCCGTGTCCCCTGATGTCCCCGTGTCCCCTGCTGTCCCCTGCTGTCCCCCGATGTCCCCATGTCCCTGTGTCCCCTGCTGTCCCCTGCTGTCCCCGTGTCCCCTGATGTCCCCGTGTCCCCCGATGTCCCCTGATGTCCCCATGTCCCCGTGTCCCCATGTCCCCTGATGTCCCCGTGTCCCCATGTCCCATCACGCCCCATGTCCCCTGCTGTCCCCGTGTCCCCAGGACGCGCAGGCGGAGGAGGAAATCCAGCAGGAGATGGTGGTGCTGACGTGTCCCCATGTCCCATCACACCTCATGTCCCCATGTCCCTGCTGTCCCCCGATGTCCCCATGTCTCTGTGTCCCTGCTGTCCCCTGATGTCCCCATGTCCCCGTGTCCCCATGTCCCATCACGCCCCATGTCCCCGTGTCCCCTGCTGTCCCCTGATGTCCCCTGATGTCCCCTGATGTCCCCAGGACGCGCAGGCGGAGGAGGAGATCCGGCAGGAGATGGCGGCGCTGCAGCAGCGGCTGACGGAGCAGCAGAGCGTCCTGCAGCGCATCGCCGCGCCCAACATGAAGGCCATGGAGAAGCTGGAGAGCGTCCGCGACAAGTTCCAGGAGACCTCGGACGGTGGGACAGCCTGGGGACACCCTGGGGACACCATGGGGGCATGGGGGGACAAGTTCCAGGAGACCTCGGACGGTGGGACAGCCTGGGGACACCCTGGGGACATGGGGGGACAAGTTCCAGGAGACCTCGGACGGTGATACACTTTGGGGACACCTTGGGGGCATGGGGGGACACCACGGGGAGATGGGGACAAGTTCTGGTAGACCTTGGATGGGGGGACACTCTGGGGACACCTTGGGGACACCTCAGGGACATGGGGGGAAAGGTTCCAGGAGACCTCGGATGGTGGGACACCCTGGGGACACCTTGGGGACACCTCAGGGACATGGGGGGAAAAGGTTCCAGGAGACCTGGGACGGGGGGACACCCTGGGGACATGGGGGGGAAAGGTTCCAGGAGACCTGGGATGGTGGGACACCTTGGGGACACCTGGGGACACCCTGGGGACACCCTGGGGACACGGGGGAGTGTCAGGGATGAGACTTCAGCTGCTGGGATATGATGGACCCCAGTGTCCCCCTGACTGTCCCTGGGTGTCCCCAGTGTCCCCTGACCATCCCTGGTGTCCTCTGGGTGTCCCCAATGTCCCCTGGTGTCCCCAGTGTCCCCCAGAATTTGAGGCCACCCGTAAATACCCCAGGAAGGCCAAGCAGGGCTGGGCTGAGCCCAGTGTCCCCAATGTCCTCTGACCATCCCTGATGTCCCCTGATGTCCCCTGGCTGTCCCCTGGTGTCCCCAATGTCCCCTGGGTGTCTGTGATGTCCCCTGTGTGTCTCTGGTGTCCCCAATGTCCCCCACAGTTCAAGGGCACCCGTAAATACCCCAGGAAGGCCAAGCAGGGCTGGGCTCACCCCAATGTCCCCAGTGTCCCCTGGTGTCCCCTGGGTGTCCCTGATGTCCCCTGGGTGTCTCTGATGTCCCCAATGTCCCCTGGGTGTCCCCAGCTGTCCCCTGGGTGTCTCTGGTGTCCCCAATGTCCCCCAGAATTTGAGGCCACCCGTAAATACCCCAGGAAGGCCAAGCAGGGCTGGGCTCACCCCAGTGTCCCCAGTGTCCTCTGACCATCCCTGATGTCCCTATGGCTGTCCCTGGCTGTCCCCAATGTCCCCTGGGTGTCCCCATGGCTGTCCCCAGCTGTCCCCTGGGTGTCCCCAGCTGTCCCCTGGGTGTCCCTGATGTCCCCAGTGTCCCCCTGGGTGTCCCCTGGGTGTCCCTGATGTCCCCTGGGTGTCCCCAGAGTTCGAGGCCGCCCGCAAGCGCGCCAAGAAGGCCAAGCAGGCGTTTGAGCAGAT